CATCCCCCATAGAATGGGCGGCTGATCTCGGCAGCCTCTATGAGTATCCGCTACCTTAAATTCAAGCCGGCATTGGACCGATGCTCGCCCATCCCTAGTCGAAATGTAATGGTTAAGCCTGCTGTTGCGTTGCGCAATCATTCTAACTGAGCTCTCCCTCCGCAGGAGCTGGAGAAGTGCGAGTCCAATCACATGATGATCCTGTTCCGCGATGGCGGCTGCCAGTTCCGGGCGCTTTACTCCTACTTCCCGGACACGGAGGAGATCCACAAGCTGACGGGCACGGGGCCCAAAAGCATCACCAAGAAGATGATCGACAAGCTGTATAAGTACAGCTCGGACCGCAAACAGTTCACCGTCATCCCCGCCAAAACTGTGTCGGTCAGCGTGGATGCTCTGACCATCCACAACCACCTGTGGCAGGCCAAGAGAAGTGCTGCGTCCAAGAAAAGTGCAAAATAGCAGGCGGGGGTGCACTGAGCACCCCCACCCCTACCCCACCGCAAATCATCTAGCGCCATCTTGCTTTGTTTCCCACATTCAATGCTCGCCGGCGTGCACGGTTTTCCCAAGGAGAGTTGCTTGCCGAACAAGAGGAACGCTGCCTGGATTGGCTTCTTTGCCTTGTGTGATGCGTTCAGGCGCATGCGTGGTTTACACGACGTATTCATCAGCTCCGCCACAGCACTGAAGCGGGTGACAGAGACTTAATTGGATACACTCCTTCCTGATTCATGGAATCATGGTGCCACTTCTGTCCTACCAGAAAGTACTTAAAGAACAAAAAAACTGCTTCTTTGTTTTGTTAACAGCATCCGGGGAATTGTTTGGCCTTGAACACATCGTGGTACTCTTCATCAACCGGTCAAACCGCCTTTGAAAATGCCCGCTGGTTGTGTGCGTGTGTATAGCAAAGAAAAAAACTTGAACAGTGCGGTTATTTTAACTACTTTTATTTATCTAAAAATCCCTTTTTTATAAGGGGTGTCTAATGAGGGAGATTACTGATCTTTGGTGCAGACATGATGCTTTTTTGGGGGGGGTCAGGGGCATTGTTTTGGTTGTTTTTTTTCCTGCTAAGTGGTGTGCTGTCAAGTTTGAGTTGATGTTGTGCGTGTTGTCATCACACCAGATTTCTGATGTGTAGACCGTAGTTGTCGTCTCTCCATTGGGCCACACAAAGACAAAAAGGTGTGGACACACACACACACACACAGAGTCACAATCAAACGAACACGCCATGCAATGTAAACCACCGAGCGCCGCCATTAAAGAACATTCCTTCAAGGTTTGACGGACAATGCCACGTGTTCTCGTCTGTCTCTATAAGTGCTTCTTCACCCGACAGCAAACCACCAACAGCACTTTACTTTTGTATCAAACACTAGAGAGGCCAAGGGCTCTCGTACTACTGCGAGCGTTTGTCGTTGGTGTCTTATCGAAACGGATTGTATGGGCATGGGGTCGCCATTTGTGTTACACTGGTCTCCTTTTATTTTCATCTTGCTTTTTGATTTTTATCCTTTTGAGGTCATGCCATCTATTTATTTTGATACGCGAGCATGTTAAAATTGAATTAAAGTCACATTTTTTTTATTTTTAGTCTTCTCATGGCTTGTTTTGTCTGTTTGCTTTTGTCACACTCAGATACTTGGAAGCGGGGGGGGGGGGGGGGGGGACTCAACGGGGCA